GACTTACGTTTGTGAAAATGATGGTGGTCTGATATACGGGATGCGTATATAAAGGATGGTGATACCATTTGGAGTGTTTTCTATTGCGTACAAGTGCTATTCCGATCAGCACATGCATTTTTCAAATGTGCTATCTTTAGGTTCAAAGGGCATTCACATGGCAATACTAAGAAAGGCTTGGGATTTTATGCAGAAACGTTTTCGTCCCCAGAAACTGCATCTTGTATCTAACTCGAGGACATCAATTGTCACAGTGTCTCTGTGGATTTAGCCTTGTGTTTGGTATATTGACGAATGAGAAACACTGAAGATTTTTCAACTGGGATTTTTGCGATTCAGCACAAATGAAAGGCAGTATGTCGTTGACGTATTGATCTTTTTAAAGCACTATGCAAAAACGCGAGAGGCTAAAACGGTTGGATAATGCAATTTACCAGCAACTGAATAGATAATTCGGCCTCTGTTTGTCGTTGCTTTACTGATTTACAGCGTTTTCTTTCCAAGTGGGGCATAATTTCATTTGAAGCGATTCAGTTACCTCGAGGGATAAAATTTGAGTCAGGTCCTCGGCATCAAAGTAACTTTCTTATTCTTTCCCGAATTGTGTCTGTTGATGTTCTTCTGGATAGTAATAGTTGGTAGGCTAGCCAGGAAGTTATCACTGCGATTGTGGCGATCAAAGATAGTCACAGACATGACCTTGTAACTATATATACATAATATGTCTATGATGTCCCTGCGCTAAAATTCCTACAGACAAAACACCTCTTGAAAAAAGTCATCACCCTTTTCAAGCTAAGCAGGCGATAGTCAGCTTTGGTTCGCTTCATGACTTTTGTGTCGAGTTCATCAATGCTGATTTTAAACATAACACATACGTCAGTCGGATGTAGGTAGAGTATAGGGTGTTCTGATATTGACGTATTTTAAATGCACTTGAAATGCATTTGACAGTTACTGATTATTCATGACTATCAATTAATATTCCAATTATCATCACTTTGTGGCAGTGGCACAGAAGTCTGAATTCTACCAGACGCAGCCTGGGGTTCTTGAATCATCCCAATTACCCGCTTGATGTATATGTCTATCGCCTGGCCCGAGAACAAGCTGTGGTATTTTTACAAGAATGCAATGATTCATGTTGTGGGTCTCGAGGAATCTGTTCCGTTCATTTTGTGTGGTGTTTGTTCATGCGACAGAGATAGGAGTATCTGTACTCATTACGCCTGGACATTTTGGTGTGTCCTTTTCTCACTATAAACCGGCTTCTTGGTACAGTGGATATGGAGTCTGACAGGAGAGGAGAAGGTCGGCGGTCAGTAACCCTGACGGGGGCAACACTAACCGTATTGTACTAACCGACTGTCTGAGTGGAGTATCAATGTTAAATCACAGCATGTTTTTCAAGCATTGTGTGCTATCATTAGCCATTAATCCGACGTAGTACAAGAAGGTACACACAAGTGCACGTAGGTCGCTACAAATGTAAAACATTCCTGGACATTAAACCTCTTCCCCCCACCTCTAAGAATATTGCAAACAAACATCACTACCAAAATATCGCGTCGAAAACATACTACTAAAGGAATATATAGAAACAGAACAAGAATAAGGTCTTCTGACGTCATAAATGACCTCATGTAGACGTGTATCCACCACACTACCTTTATCTGTCTTGTATCATGAAATCACTGTTTGGCATATGTGCAACGTAAGTAAAAACGTTAAAAACGTCTTCAGCGGCATCGATGTGAATTGAAAACCAAGTAAAGGTCGTCCAGATGACGTCAATGACGTCATTGGTATTTTAACCTACACAAATACAGAACAAGCCATTACGTGCGCAATATATACAGATTGCAATACCCTCTCATTCCTACAAGCCACTCTAGTGTGTTAGACGAGTACTATCGGCGTTATGGCAACTGTATCTCCATTAACCTTGGAGTATGTGAGCACAGTATAGTAAGTAAATGGTACCAATTACCATGACGTTTGTAAATGGCAACTGTGACATCTGTGCCTATATATATCTATTATGACGTGAAACAACACACATCACCTACAATGATCAAACAGTGCAATGAAGCATTTAATTAAAAATCATCATATATCAGTTTGATTACCATATTAGAATTGATGAGTTAACACGGAAACATAACCTTTGTAGATAACCACATTTAGTTTATTGCTTTTTGCATCGTATTTCTTGATGTCTTAGAATTACCACTACAAAGGGGAAACCACTCCATAAAAGAAGTCATCAGCCCTTTTCAAGACAATGCCAATGGTGACTCACTTCATGACTTTTGTGTCGAGTTCATAAATGCTGCTTTTAACAAGAACCAAACTGTAGGTCGTGGGTTGAGTGACATGTGTTTTGATATTCACGTACTTCAAATGCACGGAATTGGCGTGACAGTCACTGATTATTCCTGACTATCAATTGATATTCTAATCAACATCACTTTGTGGCAGTGACACAGAAGGTTGAATACTACTGGTGTTGAAGGACTCCAATTACCTGTCTGATGTATATGTCCCTCGCCTAACAAGAGAACAAACTGCAATATCTTTATAATTTTTGCAAAAATGTAATAATTTGTGCAAGAAACCAGAAGCAGTAATACATATTATATAAGGTGGCGTATTCACCTATTCTATTACAATTCATGTGTTGTTATAGTTTTTCAAAAAATTCAAGCATAAATTTCTTCTCGTTAATTTTCTTGATATAAAAAATATTCAAGTTAGTGCAGGTTCCAATGTTCCTGTTTCAATATTATGCGGGTTTGTGCCCAACCGACAACGTCACAGACTACATGACTTGTTACATCCACAGAACATGTGTTTATGTCCTTGTCTGACTGCCGGCGGTCATTGTGGCTTGCCCATAGGGAATAGCGTTCTTTACCTGCTCCTATCTAGCAGCTCGTACCATAGTCCCGTTCCGCTCAGCAAGCAATGATGGGTTTCACCACTTGGACACTTGCACTCGTACTCCGTACCATGTGGCGATTAGGTACATTTTATGTCTTGTATGACATTTAAAAGAATAAACACACAGATAAATTGTATTGCTCACGGATAAATAAACAAACGAATACATAAATAACTAAAAAAATAAATACATAGATAGATAAATAAAAAAAAAAATATATACATGTAAAATACACAGATAAATGAAAGAATAAGGAAGGAAGGAATGTTATTCTGTATGATTACTATCTCTTCCATGGGGATCGACTCAAAAGAACTTATAAAGGACCGGAGCAATGAGCTAAGACTATATTTCATCTGATATATCTTTAATACATAACAGTTGTTTGAAGAGTAAAGAAAACATTAGAGGTCTCTGTCTCAAAATGTCTAAACACATCTGAGTATCAGACCATCTGCAGACCCTCCCTGTGGAACTGGTTACCAAGACACCAGTATGGTACCAGCATCAAGCACTGTAACGGAAAACCTGAATCGGTAGGGTCAATGCGTCAAGAGTCTTATATGAAACATATCAAATATGTATAAGTGTGCCTTGAAAGGACCACGGTAGTCTGAACCAATACATATGTATGGCCAAAGGCATATAAGTCAGGCAAGCATATCCGCTTGGTGCTAAGTAAGAACCATTGTTGTAATATCGACCGGCTGACAGAAGCTCTCGGTTGAGACGCTTGTCTCCCCAAAATCCCACTCTCAACGCCGATCTACACGCTAATGACAGGCTTACTCCCTCGTAGCCTTTATTTACACATATGCTTATCAATATTTAATAACAAATATCTTCGTTTTCTATGAATAGCTTGCCTCGAATAAATCAGACGTATTAACCTGTACAATCTGAAGGAGCGGTGTATCTCTGACCCTGTTTATTGACGAGCACAGATCAAGGTCCTGTATAATACTACAAGGGTGACTTACGGTTTAATGAATTCGTACATCAAATATGTACATGAATGATCAAATATTTGTTATGTAATAACTAGTTATAAGGTTGAAAGAATATGTGGGATACGTGCGTGTATTTGAGACGTTTGGGTTGGACGGAGATCAAGAAAGTAACAGGTCAAGATGTCAGTCGGTTAAATCCGGTCAATTCAGTCTGACTTAAGGCGTAAGCGTATTAGATGATTGTAAAGCTTCAATGGTCACCCATATCTACAACACACACACACACACACACACACACACACACACACACACACACACACACACACACACACACACACACACACACACACACACTCACTCACTCACTCACTCACTCACTCACTGCATGAGGAGACACACTAATGCTTTCTAAAGAGCAAATCTAACACGGATATTTTCGGCACATTTCTAGAATGCTTCTCTCATCAATGCTCGTGATGTGAATCAATGGATTATCTGGTATAGACACCACCGTCACACATCTGGAATAGTGATGAATGTAACGTTAACCAATATACACTCACACATGTGGTCAGTCACACACACCCACACGCGCGCGCGTGCACACACACACACACACAGACACACATATAACGGTCATATAAGAATAAAATATAAAAATAAGTAAATATAACAATGCATGTGCCGATGTGTCTTTAGTAACCATTCTGCTGTTGTCATCATTCCCATGAAAGGCCCACACTCATATAATAGTGTCCACATATGGCGCTGAGCTAACATTACGCGATCAAGGTCAATCGGTCCAACTACAGAACAATTATACAACCCTCATTTCAGAACACCTGCATTGAGCCTTTGAAGTTCGTTACGTTGTATTGTGCTCTGACACAAGCCATGTGTTCACGGTTGTGCATGTTATCATTGATCCTGACACATTCGAAACATATTAAATTGTTGAGTATTATTATTTTTGACCTGTATACAATACATACGTTATGCATATAGCAATATGAATGTAATATTCAGGTACTATATAGAATTACATCATATCATTATGGATGTTAGAATACGAATGTGTACATCCAAAGCAAAACACAGTGACATACCTTCTACTCGAACTCGTGTTTAATCCGACGCAGATCATGTATATAAATCAAATAATCCACAGGTTGTTGTTAAGTTCGGGGAACATTGGGATGTTGAGTCGATGCCGGTCGCAGACAGACACGATGACTTGCCAGGATACTACCGAACAGTGTATATTCCGAGTTTACAGCACCGCTGACTTAACTGAACGTTGTTTCTCATTTGTTGTATTCACGAAGCACACGTCGTTCTAGTTGCAGACCTTAGCGTAGCCTCATCAAGCCACGCAGCCCATGGATTGCCAGCGACAATATGTACGAATCCATACTTAATAGCTCCCTCAGTCACATCCGCTGCCGGTTAGTTCACTACCATAGAGAAAGGTCAGTTGCGAGTACATAAAGCACTTTACAATGTCGTCCACCTCCCTTGTCCAGTTGTCCAGCACAACATCGTGGGCACCGACAGCTCCCTCCAGCAGATAGTGTTCAACACGCGTATAGATCCCTGTGACGCATCTAGGGCTCTGGTTATACAGCACAGGCAACGGGAGTCGCTTCGCTGCTATAGCATGAATACGTACAATAGTTGAGTCCCAGAAGCTGGTGATAATTGTTGTTGTTCGTTAACTACTAAACGGGTTAGAGCAGCGGTAATAATGGATGGTAACCGTTCATTACAATAGGCCTTGTGCAAACCGATTTAATGAATGATGAGGTAATTGTTACCATTACACGAAATGGCAGTGGAAGGTCTAGTCTGATGATGATACAGCCATGGAGAATAATGGACTGTAACCACTGTCATCACTGCTAGCGTGTCGGCGGCATGGTCTGCTGCTCAACTGATGTGGGTTTGAGATAGTTCTAGGAACAGTCGTTCTTCTTGCAAAATGGCGGTAATTTGTGTCATGAAGACTAGTGTGATTCAGCTAGCCTGCAGCAAGGTTCGGGTTCAGAGGCAGATCGAGACATCCTGGGGGATCCTGCCTCAAGGTGTAGGTATGAAGAGTAATGAATACATTACTTCTTGAGTGTGTACGTACGCATCTGTAATGCATCATGAATGAATTGATATGGCTTATTGATTTGTAATATTTGATAAAGACTTATCCTTAACAGATTTACATTGTTGTAATCAACAAGAATAGGTGTATCTTTAGTGTAATGATTCCATAAAATGACTTTGGAAACAGGGTGAAGTCGTCTAAGGTGCCACGATCTGCGATGCAGAGTTGTATCCTTTATCCAGGATCTGCTTAGCCTGGATCAGTCAACAGTCAACGTGGGTTTTCTCAATACTGGAAACATCAACGACACGAGGCACTGTTTGTGCCTGTCACTCTAACCACGGTGACGCGCCATCTGTCGGATATCACTTACTACCTGTACATTGACAGTTGATGTATTAGGTTGTTCAGTAAAGCGAATTTTTATGTTTTATATTGAACTTGTAGATTGAAAATTGTCACTCAGCCTCACCATATTTCGGTTAGAGCTGCTTCCAGTTTGTTATGCACTTAATATCGTGGTAATAACCTCTCTGGGAGGCTATTAGCGGTATCTTCTGTTACGTACTGGTTATGCTTAGATTGGAGTTGAAAGAAGTATTTCGCACGAATTAAACAAGCCATTTTACCAAAGCGAAATAGAACCATGAACTGATTTTTCAATAACACGTTCAAAGCACCCTTGGATCATTTTAGTATGATTGCGTGTATGGTTTTGTTCCGTCCTAGCCATGTTATGGCAATATAAAAGTTAACGCATTTGCTCCTTTTGGGGAATCGAACCCGGAGCTCGGGTTGACGGACGAAAGGCTTTGCCACTAGGCTACCCAATCGCTCCACATCAGCATGAATGAAACACTGACAATACAAACTACATGTATATTAAACATGCTGCCAGTATTACAGTGTTCCATGTAAGATGACATTTTGCACCATCAGGGCGCGATACCCTCGCATCTGGTGTCACAGCAGTGATATGTTTTAGTTAGACTGATGATGCAGAACGGGCCGCTGTTGGATAACGCCCTCGGGCGTAGAAGCCCCATAGAAAATCTCAGTCCCTAATGTCATGTACTTTCATACTGACATAGAATAAACGACACACTCATCACAACCAGTCAAAGGGAGGTAACCTTGATCCAAAAATAATGGGATTAATGGTCGCCTTTAAAGGGGAGCTCCCCTCCTTTAACAAGTACAAAATCCATGTCTAGGCCTCGTTGTTTGAATTGCAGCTTTCAAAGTGCGACACTGTTTTTGTTCAAATAGAATACAAATTAACTTAATAAACAATAAATATTTAGCCAGCAGATAAGCAACTTGTGTCCATGGGACTTCAAACAAACAGGGAATTTTTTTGCCACTTAAATCGTAAACTTACATCCGACAAAACACCTAAAGGTCATCTCGAAAACGTCTAAATAACCAAAACTAGTTGATCCTATGCATATTACCACATCTGAAAGGCTTAACTATATTGGGTACAGACGTGTATGCGATTTATCCGACTTCGTCACATACAACGTTCAGCATGAAGCATGTATCGGTTCCCATCCAAGCTGCTGACTATTCCTAACGGACGAGTTGTTGCTGTCATGAGCATGTGTTACAAAGTACTAGTATGCAAAGTGTTACCACATTATTACATTGATTCAAGTGACAATTGAAACAATACAATTCCTTCTTTGAGTGACAGAATCTGCTATTTCTAATGCAATGTTTTCAAAAACCCAATCCTCGGATATCAGAAACATCAAAATAAATCAAACTTAAGTGGTTTACGAATAAAGAAACTTGCCCAGATAAAGTAAATAAAAATACGCTGAGAAATAATTTCCGATCGTGTGAGAAATGGTGAAGAAAATGTAAAAGAGTAATCAAGGAATAGGGAACGTCTCTTGTTTGAAGAGAAATGTGAACACAACACATGCTGTGTAAGATTCATGTGATCTGACCTACATGTTTGTGATCTTTGAATCGTGACCAGCTCATAATGGACATACACATGATTGAATTAACGAAATGCAGTGAATTAGCGTTGATGAATGGAGCTCAGCGACCGATAATTGACGTTAATGTCAACAGCAGACCATTCCAGGAAAATTATTAAACCACAATATTGCCGAGTCGTAGTTTAATTGAAATGCTATATCGATTGCATTCTCTCACAACTGAAAGGATAAACACAACCAGGTTTGTACTACCAATATTTTTTTTCTAGTGATAAAAATGTACCCCGCACTGTTCACACTTAAATAGTTGTACATCACTAAATGTTTATATCGGTACTCTATGAGAACATTGATTCAGCATAAGTTGTCCCACTGGAGCAGTAGCTAGTGACTCCGATCCGTCCTTTGGCGTACTGGATCCGGGGTCCCGGTGCTAGATCTCAATCTGTTTCATTTGTATAGGGTTTCACGGGCAGCTGTTTTCAGAACAGACAGATTACTAGCATACATTTCTGAATAAGTGAGCTCCATGACAAACAGATTCATTAATTGTGTTAATATCCAACATCCGTATCCTGTGTCCACGGAATCATATGCATGTGGGTGGACTCAGACAAATCAGTTACTTAAATAACTGCATCGATGCTGGCGTTGATAGGACAGGGAATATGTGATATGTTCGGAGAATGTACATACATATTTTAGTATCTCAACCTTCTCTTTCTACATCTGTTTGTCTCCCATTCTGTTTTTTTCTCTCTCTCTATCACTCCCTCTTTTGTTTCTCTCTCCTTCCATATCCCTATCTTCTCTAATTCGTCGTCGTCATCGTCATCACCACCACCACCACCACCATCATCATCATCACCACCACCGACCGCCTCCGTGGTGTAGTGGTTAGAGCGTCAGCCCGGAGAGCGGAAGGTCGCGGGCTCGATCCCCGACCGCGTCATACCAAAAGACGTTAAAATATGGTACTTGTTGGTCCCCGCCTGGCGCTCGGCATTAATGGGTACAACAAGGACTGGTCGGCTCGGAGTCAGTATAATGTGTCTGAGTGGGGTATTCATGCTTCACTGCGACATGGTATCTCAGTGGGCTAGCACTATAAAACCAGCTTCTATCTGGGCTAGTACAAGCAGCCGCACATACACACGCATGCACGTCGTCATATGAGCGAAATATTCTCAAGCACCACGTTAAACCCAATTTCACATCACCTCAACACCACCACTCTCTCTCCCTCTCTGAACCCCTCTCTCCCCCCCTCCCCCCTCTCTCTCTCCCAAAGACAATACACCATCCAACCGCTCCACCACGCTTTCACAAACACGCATGATAACGCCCCCACTAACAAACCACGCCCAGTATAACCCGATGAAACCAAACGCCAGCGAAGGTAAATGCAAAATGTTACATCAATGTACCTCCGCGAATCAAAAACGGCTGTAATGATAATGATCTAATCTCGTAAAAGGCATTCCAAACAATGGATCTGTACGTCCTAGCGGTTCCAAACAATGTTATAGCTCTAATCCATCAGACCCTCGGGGTATTCCGTGTACGTCGAAGAGCGGAGAAACTGTAAAGTCAGGTGTGTAAAATATTGGGCATTAAAGCGTCTTCTTTTCTCAAGGGGAGACAAAATACATTACTTCGGTCTGCTAAATAAACTATACATCACTAAATCTGGATTTAAGACGTACCAGTCCGAAATTTAGGAGGTTAATACGACACACAGAAAGGGGGACGGAGATAAGACATGAGTTAGACTGAGGAACAGCAGTAAACAAAACGGCCTACAGACTAGCGGCGACTGTGGACTGCATTAGATAATCTATATTGAAACGGTTGCTTCGAATCAGGAACAATTACTATGGTAACGTACTTGTTGTCCATTTCTTCTCCAGCATTTGCAGGTTCCTACCTGCCATACCTTGGATGCATTGCCGTACTAGAGGCGTACAGCAAGAATGAGTAGAAACACACGGAGATATGCATTTCAAGCAGTGGTACAGTGAATAAAAAGTATGGTGACACAACGTTGAAGTGGAGAGGCAATGATCTTTGGTTCTTTGCACCTAGCATGTCGACTGACTTTTGTTGAGTATTAAGCGGGTGTTTGCAATGCGTACCCTAGTTGACTGTGTTTCGTCATACCACGGCAATGATCGTTGCCCTCTCTATCGACTATTGGTCTGTGTGGCATATACTCGAATATACACAGCTGCCGAAGCAGGTATACCTGGTTTCAGGGTTTGGATTCAAACAACGGTTGTTCAGTTATTCTTATACTGACATTCTTCACGCTCCAAATTTATCCGGACACACTTTACCTGTGACATCTGTTTAGCAAATGATGATTGGTTCTATACACCCTCTTTAAGGAGTTCCCCATCAGGAGTATGTACGGTCAACCAATACAACGCAGGTATCATGCTCCTTGCCGCACGTGTATACATATATACTAAGGGAAACAAATAAAGGAACACGACAGCACAAGTGTTCCTTTAATCTTTTCCAGGTTTCTTCACAAGCTCTGTATCGTACTGTGGGTGAGGATCTGAGAATAAGTAGAGGAACACTGCGATGAAGTGGTGTTCCCTTATTTGTTTCACTCAGTATATGTTTCGTATCATGTAAGTGTCGCATCTGAGTGAACAAAATGCTCACCTACCTTCTTGCAATATTCCATTTGCCATTACCGTTTGACTTCATTCTTGATTCACGGCCATGTATATGACATCCTTCATGTATATGATACTTTCAGCCTTATCTCATCTAATGTGGCAATG